TTTTTTTTTTGTTTTGTTTATATTTGCGGTATATTTAGAGATTCCTACACATCGTGATGTGTTAAAATAAACCAGATGAGGAAAAAACCCAGGTATTAAGACAAAGCAGAACTCTGTTACACCTGCATGCTGCACGGGGGCTCGGAAGGGAGCAGGGCCTGGGAAGGGCTCAGGGCTTGGAAGGGGTCAAGGTCTGGGAAGGGCTCAGGGCTTGGAAGGGCTCGGGGCTCAGAAGGGATCGGGGCACTGGCAGCCACTTGGCTCCTTTTTTTTCTCTCTCTTTTTTTTCCTTTTTTTTTTTTTTTAAAGAAAAATAAAGTGAAAACAGCAGGTGGGTTTCATGTCCTTCCTCCTGCAGCAGGCGGGGTGGGGGCCACAACCAGCCCCTCTGCTTCCTTTTCGTTTTGGGAGGGCACAGCCCCCCCAGGCAGACTCTGCTCTCGTGGGGTGATGCCAGGCCTGGAGCCCCCCTGCCCCGACTCCCCCCACCCTGCAGGCACCATCCCGGGAAGCAGAAGGTAAGAAACGAGCTCAGAAATGTCACAGTCGGTTGGTTTTGTTTTTTCTCCTTTGTTTATAGACTTAAAAACGCGGGGTTGATGGAGGGAGGGCTTTGGGCAGAGCCTGCGCAGAGGGAAGGGGGGACCCGGCCTCTACTCACATGCAATGGGGTCTGGGGGCCCCTGCCTGTCCCCTCCCCTGCTGCCGAGTCCCAGGTGCCACAGCTGGGGCTGGGCTGGGGTGAGGATTTTTTCTCTTTTTTTCCCCCCCATCCTTTGAAACACAAATAAAAACCCAGTAAAAGCAAACCCCACCCCGGAGCAGCAGCCACCTCTGTAAAAATCAATAAATATCCTCCGGGCGCCTCGAGCCCCCGCTGAGCCCCCGGGGGGTGGGAGACACGGGGGGTCACCCACAGCGTGCACTGGGGACCCCATGCTCTGCTCTCACCCTGTCCCCCCACCTGAGCAGCCCCCACCCCTCTAGGGGGCATTTATGGGGCCCCCAGGGCCGGTCCTGCCCAGCCCAGGTGCCACTGCAGGACCCCTGGCTCCCCTATGGCCCCTCGAGCAGCCCCCTGCCCCAGACCCTCC